CTCGGGACAAGCTTTTTCGGATAGAGAGAGTAGTGCATAAGAGTATGTGGTCTTAACCTCTCACTAGTTTATTTTTCTCTCCACCCTTTTCTTGTAAAACCGACACTTTCCGAATGTACAAAAGATCATGGATCTAATTTTCCCGGTCAACCAATCTCTCTCATCAATGCAATTTGCTTTAAGAAACAAATAATTAATTTTAAGGAAAAATCCAATTAACTAATCGACAGATATGTATCTCAATTAATAGTTATGAACAGAATCATAATTTTCCTTTTCTTCTCCAATCCCTTCCCGTCCCTCTGCGTCACCTCGGCCGATGCAGTCCACGCTTTTCTCAACCCAATGGGCACCACCCATGCCTTACTGATCCTATCGCCGATGGTATCCCTTCACCTCAGGATCGTACATGCCTCCCCTGTCACTAATACAACAACAAGTTAACCGTTACAGATTTGTACAATTCTTGGTGAATTAGTACAAGTGCATATGCATTATCTGCATATAAACGGGAATACACTATTCATGTTCACCAGAGGTGTGAGTACTTGCAATTATATGTTTTGCTTGATGGGCATGACGATGATATTGTACTGCTCCATAGGAGATGGGAGTACGTACTTGGCAAGGAATTGCACATGAGCACGTGGCAATCCAATAAATGTGCCAGGACCGATAACGGCGCAACATTCTCACATGTGCATGTTAATTAGAAAAAATGTGTTGATGCCGGCACATGGATATATAGAAAATTTGTAACATCCTTTTGGTTGTGTTGTGTATGGGATAGGAAGAAATGAACACATAATGGAGGATGCCGTTGTTTCCATTTTTTGCTATGCGGCTTTTCATCAATTTTAAGCACGCTTTGATTCTTTTCTTTTCATTTGGAAAGAAGAAGAAGAAGAAGAAGAAGAAGAAGAAGAAGAAGAAGAAGAAGGACCTAATGAAAATTTGAATTTACATCTGACTCCTCCCATTTTGTACACAGGACCTCCAAATGAGACAGAAAGAGAGTACTAATGTGATGGAGAGAAAAATTACAAGGGAACGGAAGCATGTTTTCAGGCCAAGAAAGCGTAAACCGGTGGAAGACGCCACCAGCATATAAACCCATTCCAGTGACTCCACCACCTCTCAAATCCAACCCAAGAAAAGTTTATTCCTTTCCCCCCGAATCACTCCGCCGCTCAGGCTGCGCCGGGAAGGTCCATGGCGGCGGCCCTCCGGCCGGTGGTCGCCTCCCTGCTGCTGCTGCTCCCCCTCGCCGGACGCGCGGCGGCCGACGGCTGCTCCAACAAGCTCCAGCCGGTAACTAATCCCCATCCACTCCATCCTCTCCTCTGTCAGATCTCCCGCTCTGCTCTGCTCCCGGATGCAAAATGTGGGGGTTTTCAGCATACCAACTGTAGATGCAATCAGTCCCTGCCATGCTACTGCCTCCGTTCCTAAAGAGTATATAAGTCTTTCTTATAGATTACTTACATATGGAGCAAAATGAGTGAACTAAATATACAAAAATCTGAATGTAGTCTTTCCGGTGGAATCTCTAAAAAAAGACAGACTTATATTTAGAAGCGGTGGGAGTAGATAGCATACAACTTTGCTTGATTCATGCCCAACCTGCCTTTCACGCTAGGTAAGGTATCCCCTCCCTTTTTCACTTCGGAACAACACGAAATGAGTTATCAGAATTGTTGGCAGCAGCACAAAACAACTTAAATTTGTACTCTACTCTGCTATATATAGCTGCAACCGATCTCATCTGGAGCAACTTGAACAATAATACTCCACTAGTAGTATCTCCGTTGTTACACTCCACTTAAGCACCAAGCAAATTAACCAGCTCTGCTCTGCTCTGATCTCATCTCATCTCATCAGGAGCATCCTAAAAGATTTTTCTGGCATGTTGTCTTGTCACACTTCAGAGAGTGTGTGTGTGTGTGTGTGTGTGTGTGTGTATGCACATTGTCTGGTCCAAATCTTAAATGAAAGCAACATACTGCCGCGCCCCCCGATTTTCTTTCTTTCTCATGCTCCCAGGTTTTCTTTTTCCCTAGGTTAAGGTGAAGAAGAACTGGGTGAGTGGAACCCAGGGCACGGCCGTTACTGGAAAGAGCACGACATTCGGAGCCACCTTGCCCACAACTGTCAACGAGGCTCAGGGAACATGCGCTGCCCTCACCTACCCTCTTGACCGCTACTCCAATACAGCCTCAAAGGTTCTGCTTCGACTCTGAATCCGACATAACTTCGCAACCAAGTTGGTTCTGCAGGCATCTTCTAATCTAATCTAATCTAATCTAACCCTTGCTGTTGCAGTTAACGGTTTCTGTTGCCTTACCGACACGTGGACAGTGTGCTCTCACTGCTGAAGCGGAAACTGCACAGCCTGCTGATGACCAAGGTATTCATTCAAAGGACGGCCTGAAAAAATTATATTCTCTGTCCCGTACTTCTGTTCAATATTTTTGCTAGGCAATAATCTGTTTGGTTAACTTTCTGTTTGCAGAACTTCATAAGACGGTTTGCAGTGTCAGTGATCCTTCAATTAACAAACCAAGTCGTCTGGTTGTGGACCCTTCACTATGCTTCTTGTTCATAATGGCTGTAGGAACTATAGTCTGCTCCTCACTCTGGGGTGAATTCGTTGCATGCCAACAGATTGATGGGCGTTATAATCAGCTGACATGGCAGGTTCTCACTTTTCTGCCTATCCAAACTGTATGGCATGCTATGCTATTTACTAGCTCTTTTTCATACTCATACCAACCCATAAATCGCGTGTAGGGACAGGGATGAGCCGTTAATAGGATTATGTAATATAGAATATATGGTTGTTGCTTGATTATACGTTATCTGCAGATTTGTTTGCCCTGGCTTTATAACATTTCTGCATTTGTACAAAAAAATAACTTATCTTGCTGTGAGGCACACTTGGTACTTATGATTCTTAAGATAACGAATAATTTGCATTTTATCGGGTTTGTTTCTAGCTAATGAGTAGTAGCTTTCAGTTGATCACTTGGTTAAGTTTTTGACTAATGAATTTCTTCGTTTCATACTAATTAAACAGCAGGGACCGAATTCTGGAACAAACGGCAGACAAGATAAACAAATCATTGAAATCACCGCAAAGAGAGCTGGTTTTCAAATTGTAGGATGGTCAGTTTTCCTTCTCCTGTTCTACTTCATGTCGTCTTGGGTCGCCTGGCTACTGATTGTATTGTTCTGCATTGGTGGTATTCAGGTATTTCCTTGTATATTCTCTATCTTTGCACTCTTTTGATCACAAAGCCTGTCTATTTGTACAAATACTTCTCTTGACGCTTGGTTATTGAAGTGCTTGTTTAGTTTTTTATATTGGTATTCGGTTGTGAGTTTGTTTCTGTTTTGTGTCTTTCAGGGTATGCATGTTTGCTTGGTGACAATTATCTCTAGGTAATGCATGAAATAGTTTACATTAAGCAAGTTATTCAATGCTCTTTATTTTAGTTTTTAACTCGTTGTCTGTGCCTCTTGTGCGCCTTGTTTCCAGGATTTATAAGGATTGGAGAAATAACACTGTACAATTGCCGTTGTACGGGGAGGTCTTAACCTTGTCTCTTGGAGTGGCACCATTCTGTACGGTATTTGCCATTCTATGGGCTGCTTATCGGCATTCTTCGTTTGCTTGGATAGGTCAAGACATCCTTGTAAGTTGGATTGATTATTATTCTTATGTTTGCTTGCTATGTTTTTAATCTTCACGGGGAAATACCCTTCATCCAAACACCCCCTTAGTTCTATTCTTTCCACTTTAGTTCAGAAGCAACTGAAAGCATGCAACATGTTTACTATCACTTTAGTTCAGAACTTAAAACTAGCATGTCCAAATTCAGTGCGGATCGAGGTTCCATTTTCCTAGTAGGATCAGCTAACCTGTGATTTGTTTTATAATTTACACATTGCAGTAAGGTCAATCTCTTCAAAAGAATTTGATGCTGTTTTTTAGTTAAAGTACATTTCAGAACTGGCCTTCTATTTTTACACTAGCAGCTGTGTATGTGCAATGCAAGTTTTCACATCATACATCAAATGTCAATCCAACTTATTATTGACCATATTCAGTTTTTAGCCCTAACAAGGTAAGTACCATAAGCCACAAGCTTAAGCATGATTTATCTAACATGAATGCATTTATATTAGTTATGGGCTGAACTGATTTTTGTTTAGATATGCAAGTTTGCACTAGGTTTCCTAGATTTCACATGTTAGTTTTCGTCCATGAACTATACAGATGGAGATCAGAAGTAAAATGTTGACAAGATTATCATTTTCACTAAATCTTAGGAGGGACTCGAAAGTGATCTACCCAGGACTTAAGGGAGTTGATAAGATTATCTTCATTTCACACCTTGTATCATTTGTTTGATTTTGGACATCACATATTCAGTTTCCAAGCTTGATGCATGTTATTTGAGAATTACATTATAAGTTGTGGAATAGTTTCCGTAATGTAGAGAACGTCATTTCTTTACCCTTTTTTTATATAATTTGTTACTCGGGATGCAAATTTTCTTCTGGCATGGTGTTTAATTAGCTTGCAGCCTTGGACCTTTGAGAAAAATACATACATTAACCATGCAATCTGTGTAATTGTCACAGGGTATCTGCTGGATGATAAACATAATTCAGAAGGAGCATTTACCTAATATCAGGGTATTAGCATGTCTATTTGCTGTAGTCAACTGATTGTCGTCGGGTCCTGCTTGTAGTAATATCTAAGACTCTATCTTTGCAGGTTGCATCGGTTCTTCTTGGTGGTGCATTTGTGTATGACATCTTCTGGGTCTTCATTTCACCTCTTATATTCCATGAGAGTGTTATGCTTGCAGTAAGTGCAATCTTGATCTTTACATTTGCATCAATACTTACTATCAGCCATGCTTTAGTTCTGCGTATTAATTTGCACGATAGATTTTCTAGTTAAATCAATCAGTGGAATAGTCCTGCTTCTTCGCAAAAAAGAAAAGGAAGAGTCTTGCAACTGCATGATGAAACCATTTTTAGAAAATAAGATATGCCATTTCCCCCAAAAAGGAGTACTCTTGCTTCTTCACAAAAAAAAGGCATCTGGAGGTTGTAAAATAAAGAGAAGGATTCACTTCTTAAATACCTTTGGAATATGAGAGAATTGGTAGCAGCTTGTCTTGAAACCGAGTGAATTGTTAAAATATTCAGTGTTATGATCTAATCTGGTTCTCTTATGACCCGTATAAAAATTGATATGTTTAGGAGGCAAATGTTCGGACTTGAAACTAGTGAAATGTTATTTTTTGTGGTTATAATTTGAAACTAAATAAATGCATTGTCCAGCAAATGCTCATGTTTAGTAACCTATCTTATTCTCTTATGTGCTGTGACTTGTGATTGTTTTTTTTACTTGCCATCTTATGAAAGCTCCCAGGTTGCAAGTGGTGGCAGCTCAGGGGAAGTGATTCCGATGCTCCTAAGAATACCTCGTTTCTTTGATCCATTGGGTGGATATGCCATGTTAGGCTTTGGTGATATTATTTCCCCTGGACATCTCATCGCATTCAGCTACAGGTACTCTATGCAATGCTGCAATATATGTTTATGGGTTTTCATCTAATCTGTTACTCCATTAGTTCACTAATGGGTAGACATAGAAGAAACATACTTAAATACTGCCTGGTAGTCAGGTACTCCCTCCGTTTCTTTTTAGTCTGCATATAAATTTTTTCTAAAGTCAAACATAGTAAAGTTTGACTAAGATTCTAGAAAAAAAATATAAACATTCACAATATAAAATTGATGCCATTAGATGCATCATTGAATCAACTTCCATATTGTATATCTCATGTATTATAGATGTTGATAATTTTGTATATAAATTTGGTCAAACTTTATGAAGTTTGACTTAAGACAAATCTTATATGCGAAGTAAAAAGAAACGGAGGGAGTACCATTCATGCTAAACGCAATGAAGGTCTCAAGAAACACACTAACTACCGTGCTGAAGATAGGTTGAGATGTAGAATATTTGGGAGATACTAAGATCGATTCTTCTTGCTTATCTCAAACATAGATACATATCATCTTCATATAGTGAATGCTTGGACCCTTGTTGTTTCCTAGCACAATAAGAACTCTGTTGTCTCAGAGGTCCACGCCATTTGTTAATGATACATCATCACTTTGGTATACGGCGCAGATTTGACAGGGCAGCCAAAAAAGGTATCTTCAATGGATATTTTCTATGGCTGACCGTGGGATATGTTGTTGGTAAGCATTTGATACATCTTGTTTTCTATTATATTTGTGTTGACCAGTTAGATGTTAGCGCTCTATGTTGTGTGTCTGTTGTGGTATTGCTTATGTTCATGGGCTGGTTACGCAATTTCCGTTAACAGTTCATTTTAGTTGTGAACTTCACAGTGGCCCGTCATATTTGATTATTTGGGTACCAGCAAAATAGTGGACTTTGATAACTAACCATTTTTTAGGGCAGTTCTAATTTTTTGGCACGAACACCGAGTCTATAACCGATAGGCTTAACAAGCACTGCACTATAAAAGGGCTCAGTGTATTCAAGCAGTACATAGTACGGCACTGCTGTTGTTATGGCATCTAGGCGCACATGGTGGTGACTGCCTGTGACTGATTGGTTGTTTCCATTTTCTTGCTCCGCGTTCTGTTCTGCCTGGAAGTTACTGTCTTTCTTTGTCTTCAGGCAATAGATATACGTATTTTTCTTACTATAACTCTGCAAACCGCAGACTCCGGCGTAACCTGAAATCCTGTGTTTGTTAACACAATTCATTGCTTTGTAGTGCAGAACCCAGATTTTCATTTTTCCTTTTACCCTTGCAGGCCTTTTCCTTGCCTGTCTTGGGTTCTTCCTAATGGATGGACATGGTCAACCAGCGATGATGTACCTAGTACCATGCACCCTAGGTAAGCATATAAATTGTTCCTTTGCTGCCTCATCTTTACCTACTCCCTTTTACACGATCAGCGCCACCGATGCATGTATTCGCTTATTTTCACACCAGGGCTTATTGTTGTGCTTGGCTGGATAAGAGGTGAACTGCCTCACTTGTGGAACTATGGAAGAAGACAGGAAAATTTAGTCGGTGAAGTTGATATGTGGTCAGACAGGGTTTAAACTCAAAAGCAGTCATCCTTGGATCTAATTAATCAGTGGATCTGACATGATGCTCCTTTCTTGCGTGAACTGTGCGGCATCGTGGAAATGTTAAATTAGCTGTAGCCAGATTTGTGTTTGATTTAGGTTGTCCTCATTTAACTTGACATAAAAAGAGCGAGTTGTGGAGATCCAACATATCTCATCCGTTCAACCGCTCTATCCAATGGTCTATGTTGCCATGGTGTTTAGCGCTAACCGTGTTTAGTACTAAACAAGGTTAGCACCCTCCTCTAATTAATAGTATACCTAATGTCAATGTGAGCGTCATCCAATTAATTAAATACTACATATTATCAACATGCAACTAAGATCTTAACAGATATTAGTGTGTGAAGCAATTAATATATTGCCTAATATTTCATCAGATAAAATATTGTCTAATATTAACGTGCATTGCATGTACTCCCTCTGTAAACGTAAACGCTTTTATATTAGTTTATGGAGGGAGAAAACATGCGAGTTACGATTTGTCATGGAAATCAGTTTTGTATCAACAATAGATTACTTAATTTTACATAACCCAAAATTTTACTTAATCATTCTATTCTTACGAACATCATGATCATCTATGGAACTGGAACAATCATTCAAACCCAAAATTTTCAGGACATTGCAAATGCAAATACAGTGGCACATTGGGCCGCTCATGTTCAAACATGTGTGGATGCAAACAAACTCTGAAAGCATGTATCTTATACTTTAAACCAAAACTTTGTGTCCTCTTTTGGTAGGCATGCCCGGTTCCTTTGGAGGCAGTAACCCATTTGGTTAACTTTGTGTTTGCAGAACTTTGTAAGGTGGTTTGCAGAACATTATAAGATGGTCCGCAGTGACAGTGACACCTCAATCCCGGCCATAATGACGCCACAATCAGAGGAGGGAAGAATCTGACGGAATTGTTGGAACATGGAGCAAGGGATAAGTACATACAGTGCGACGGCCTATGGCCCATCTGAAATAAGGGCTCATTACATCTACATGCATGAATACATTACTTTTTTTTTTACAAAACACGTCAACACAAAGGATAACTTTGCTCATGGATATTTAACTCTATCAACCATGAATGAATAGTTAAGTTAGAATTATGGGGTTTGGCCTGCTGCTCATTTATATATATTTTTTTGGGAGGGGGTGGGAGGGGGCTTACCCCCCCATATTTAGGGGGATCCTTGCCCTCCTTCCCCGGCATGACACCACAATATATTTGTTCAATGGTTGCTTATGGTTGAGTATATGTATGTTATAATCATCATCTGTATCATTTAATCACAGTTACATGGTATATTAAGACCTCATTTCCTAAATAAAATTACTTTATATATATAATTATAACTTAATAATGATTTTCATGATATGCAATATATACTGATGAAAGTATTACTTCTACTCTATTATACACTCCATTGTATAAAATTCACACTAGGGCCTCCAAAATATTAGGGCCGGCCCAGATCTGCTAGAACAGTTTTTATTCTCCTTCCTGTATTTTATAGTTCCTATGAGTTGGCCCTTCTAAAAATCTCTTATCATAGTTTTCATGTGAAACTGAATGCAGAGGCTGGTACTTCAGCATATCGTCCAAAGACCTTTCGAAGAAGGTTTGCATGCATAAATTTCTTCTCAATTATGATATCAGTTTAACTAGAGTATCTCATATGCTTGTTTTGGCTCTGGGCTTGTATGTGACAGAAGGCAAGAGTCAATTGAGGAGGAAAGGGATAAAGAGGTTGAGAAGACTATAAGTTATTCTCTTCCTGTCATAATTATGCAACACTCCCATCATATCTGTATTATAGCTAGGGCCTTGTTACATTTTGAAACATTTGTCGGTTCACATCTACTCATTTTGCACCTGCACAGGTTGATAGGACAACTGATCTCTCCATGCTTGTTTTCGATCTATCTACATG